TCTTCATTATAGCAGCTCAAATTATGTTAGGGCTCCCTGGCTAAAGCTGAATAACAGGAAAAAGGGTACTCCTATTATTAAGGGGTCACTAGGAACCTAGAACAACAGTAATAATAGCACTAGCTGCGGGAACAATGCAAGTGTTTTTGTCACTTTAGGAACCGTACGACGTACGAACCAACAACAATAGTAGCGAGAATGGCAAATAAAACCGTAGCAACCATGATGACAATATGTAATTGTAACAAAGGCCAGAACAAGTGAGACAAACCGGAGTAACTATATGTAACAACAGTAAACATACTAACATATCGAATAAGACGAACCACTGCCTTCGTGCGGCAGCCGCCGCAACATCCAGTCCGGACCTTGCGGTTCATTGCAGCACAGAGCATGGAGAGAATCGAGGCATTTCAATAAGTTGAAGGTTTTGGGTTTAGGATTGGTTTACGGTTAGTTTCTTGGTACTTCGGGTGCAAAGCAGAGAGCATCCGTGAGGACGAGGGCAGGGCCTGGTGTGTAATTTGACAAATGTGGCTACTCGGAAGGCAGACACAGAACTGAGGTTTGGCTGTTTTTCCCGACATCCTCATTAGTTTCAGTCTCAGTGTACGTATGTGTGTATACAGATGTTTTTTCTTGCATAGGTCTTTTCAGATTCGTGGCGCTGCTAGCCAGTTAGCTTCGGAGTTCCTACAGTTCAGAACTGTGACCTCACATATCAACGGTCTCAAACTTCAAACCTTCCACACAATTTGCTGTCTCTCTTGTGCTGCTCGCCATGGCTGCGATCTTGGCACGGAGGCGAGGTTTGCGAAAGTCCGATGAACAGCGCCAGACCTGGCCAATTGTGGACCACGCCCCAGAAAAGGAGAGTGCCCTCTTCATACACTGCCAACATATCTCTGATCGTAGAATGGACCTGAAAATCTCTGTTCTGATCCAACTTGCCTACAGCCTCGAAGCCGCGCACAACTTTCCGATTTCAGCCCGAAGACCCCGATTGTCCCGGGGGCCTTGAGCTTTCGTGGCAGGGGCTACTTAAAGGTTCATGGGACTTAGTAAGTAAGGTTATAAGTCCCTTAATTGGGGTTGTAAGCATAGTTACCTTAGTTATAACCCTACTTACTAAGTCCCATGATCCTTTAAGTAAGCTAGCTTGGGCGGATCCCATGGTACAGAGCCCTAAGGCCCAAGGTCTCCTTACCAGGCTCCTGCACTGTAGGGGCCTAAAAAGTTACCAATAGTTGGTTTTTTTGGGTGGGGGTTCCTCATTATAAGTATAGTATAATGGGCCCCGAAACCCTATTCTTTCTTTTTTTAATTCTTAAGGCCCCTACATTATCGGTATCATACTGGCTTTGGGGGATGGAGGGAAGGGCCCGGGGAGGCCAGCTGTGATACTATGTCTAAATTGTAAGCAGTGAAATAAGTCGTGGGTTTAGGGTTTAGGGTTTAGGGTGTTACTCATTGCTACCCATTGTAACTACTAGTTTGTCTCATTCTGACTCCTGTTAGTATGGGAGGTTTTTGTCACGGCATGCCATTTCGACCTCCGACTTGTGGCTCTTTTTAGGATCTAGGGTTTAGGGGTTTACTTCGGCAATGTCGGAGGGACTTGGGGAGAAGAGTGGACATGTAGCCCCCACCCTCAGAACTTCAAAGCTCTAAACCCTCTGCCCATCTCGGCCCCAAGATCCTAAATTGCTAGACTCCTAAACCCTAAACCCTAAACCCCCGAAGCCGCTAGTTACGGGATCTTCGGACGTTCTCCGAAGCCCTGAGCAGTCCAGGCCCGCTGTGACTGCTGGCTGCGTAGGTGGGGCAGCTTCGTTTGCTCATAGGGTGCGGGCTTCGGGGTTCAGGGTTTACGGTTTAGGGTTCAGTATAACATTCAGGGTTAGGCTTTAGCATTTTGGGTTTTGGGTTTCGGGTGTTGGGTTTGGGGCTCAAGTTTTAGGCTTTACCTGCGGTATGTCGGACTTGCAAAAGATGCAGGCAGGTGTTGGTGGGTTCAAGCCTTAGCCATGATCGAAATGTAGTGTTGGACGACAATCGGGCTTGCCGAAGCCTGCATACCCCCAAACCCTAAACCCTAAACCGTGCAGGTGTCGCAGCGGGGACGTTGGGAACATGGCCGCCCCCCCGAGTCTGTTACGTTCATGGTCGTGACCTGGACGTTGGCGAAAGATGATGGTGACGGTCCTGGTGATGATGGCTATCGCCTATCGCCACTAGTGACGAATCTTATTGCAGTTGAAGTGAATGTTCTTCATAAGTTCTGTATTCAGTTCATGCTAGTGGTAGCCGTCTTGTTTCAGGACTGCGAACCAGGTATCGGGAGTGTCTTCGTCGGTCGTTCAGTCGAAGCGCAGCACCGCAGCTGCTTACATGAACATTTCAGACAATGGAGGAACCTAAACTCGACTGCTAAAAAACTCCTAAACCTGCCATCGTGTTTGAGAAAGGCCTTATGCCTTTACAGGAAAACCTCATTGCGGAACCCTTAGGCCTCAAGCCCGGCACCTCGAGTTTTGCTTACGCCCCTCTCGGAAATGACATGATGCACCTTCACGTCGGAGCCTTGAGCCGAAAATCCCGAACCCACCCTTCATTGAACCCCAAACTCTACACTTTTGAATACCCTTCACTTTAAAAAGTTGCCAGAGCTTCGCACTACAGGGCCCGATGCCGTGGCTTCGCAAGGCCATGAAACCTCATCGCGACTTCCATGCATAGCCTCCTGGTTTCTATGCCGTCCTTTAGCGTCTGCTCCCTTGCTGCCGGCCCTAGCTGGGCTGCGATCGTTGTGATTGCGAATCTACTTCCTCTTATTGGGATGGTACTAAACATATTGGGGATATGTTTAGTACATCTTGTTGGGATGATACTCGGTTTATGACCAGTACCGTGAGTCCATTTGTTGCCATGACTCGGTGTAGTTGTCAAAACTTCTGGCACCACGATCTTGGTCAAACTTGGCCTTATATCCCAGACCCTGAAGCCTAAACCCTACACCCCAAACTATCGACGAAAGCCCCAACCCTTGAAGCCTAAACCCTACACTCCAACACCTTAAGCTGTTTGAAATAATCAACCCCTTGTCAGTGAGGTTCGAAATGAGCCATGGGGTGTTCTGCATCCCAGTGCTCACCTTGCCACCCATGGCTTTGAGCCACCAGGTGGTGTGGAAGGGAAGAGAGGGTTTAGGGTTTGGGTGGTGAATGCGAAGCTTGGGTTTCGGGCTCTGCGGTTGCATTTGCGCTACCTACGGCGTCAGGAGGGATGACCTGCTTGTTCGAGAAGTCTGTTGCCGTCATGGTTCTCATCATCGCCATCCTCAGCCAGCATCATCACCACCCATTCACCTTAACAGTTCGATTTTATTGCAACTGTGTTGGGTTCCCACGCCGCAGAGAACAATGAGGAGTTCGCTGAGCTTCGGAAGAAGGACGCAATCTATTTAGGCTCAGAACTTCAATGGTTGTGACGAGGTCCTAGGCTGCTTGTTGGACTTGCGTAGCGGTACACGGTTTTGTCAGCGACAATTTCTAAAAGGTGCATAGTGACTTGTGGGCAGCTCCTTTGGCATGAAGCACAGCTGTCTCATGAGGCCCTCGACTCATGTGTGTGTGTGTGTGTTATACGAGGCTACTGTAGCAGTCAGAGAATGCCACAATGGATGTCGCAGCCAATCTTAAAGGACAGATAGAGTGAAAACAGCCATAAATCCGAAAAGCCCAGCAGCCCCACCGCCCAAAAGCCCTTGTTCCGAACGGAAGACGGGACCAGATCTCCAGCAACGAAACAGACATAATTCACCAAAGCCCTTCTAAACCGCCAAAATCCGAGTCGCTTAAACCAGACCCTTTCAGAACCTCTAAACTCCTGGAAACTTGCTTCTAAACCCCTTCTGGAAACTTGTAAGAGCCGTATGAAGCACCCTTATACAATCTTCCACAAAACCCCCCTGAAACCCCAAGCCCTACAGCCGAAACCCGAAAGCCTTCACCCAATATAGAAGCCTAAAATAACTACCCATAATGTTCCTGCAGGCTCCTTATTATAACTGTACTTTAAAGGAGCCCCAAACCCCATTGAAACCATTAAGGCTTCCAGATTACGACCCCTGAAACCCCAAGCCCTAAGCCCTAAACCCCCAGCCCCCTTATAAAGCATTCACCTACGACTCCTACGACCCCTGAAGCCCGGGATTTGCGAATGTTGCCATGGGCCGGGAGCGCTCGCCGGATCTCGATCGCCAGTTGGCGGACTTCCGCGGCTTTGCAAGCAGGGCTTCGGTTTAGGGTTTGGGGTTTGGGGTTTAGGGTTTAGGGGTTTCGGGTTTAGGGGTTTAGGGTTTAGGGTAAGGCCCTGTCACAAAGCTACAATAGTCCTGCTCAGCCGTTAAGAATCGCAGAGGAACCAAAATGAACAAATCTTACCTAGCAGTGGGATATCATACTGTTAAGCCAGAACTTGCCACAAAATGCCAGAAGTGCTGGCCATACCAGTATCTCTCGTATGCTTAGTACTTGCCTAAAGTACAGTAAGCCTGACAGCATATAATATTAGTAGGAATAAACAGGAGATCCTAACAGCGAGAAACCCAAGCCCATGTCGCCAGGTTTTGGGAGCTGCATCATCAAATCATCCGCGGATTCGTGACTGTAGAAGCCGGAGAATAATGTCAAACATAAATGCCTCGGGTTACCTAGTGTAACTCTACAATAACATACCGTAGTTGTTACATTGTAGTTGTTGCGGTCTCGAATGGGCGGGAACTTTGCTGTAGTGCCAACACAAGTATCCTATTCAAAAAAGTGACTAGGAATCCAGGGACCTGCCTGGCTTTTAAGCCCCCTCCCCTCTAACTACCTGATGCATACATTTTGCAGCCCTTGTTTGGAAGATGTGTCCGGACCGCTCATGCTGAATCTTCTGCCACGGCCATGTGCTTCCACGGGGCAGGGCTTCAGATCTGGGTAGTTGATCCAGCCATGAGGGAGTTTGCCTTGTATGCGTTGTCCCGGGCCTCGCAAGAGGAATTGGGCAAAGACAGACGTCGCGCTTGGGGTATCTGGCTTCCTGGTCCTGTTCAGAAGATGGTAATGCTTGTAGCTGATGGTGCAAGGGCAACCTATGAAATTTTAGCAGCCAGCCTCTATGCAAGCAGCTGAAGTAAGAGCATTAGCCCATCGTGTCCATTATTTGCATCTGTCGGTCCAAGGTTTTTGGTGGTGCTCGAGGTGGGCTCGATGCTTTGCTTTGTGCAGGTGTCCACGCTTACGCATGGAGTGTTTCTGGCCATCCCGGCGATCATCCTCCTTGTGTTTGCAGTGGCCAGGGGAAACCGGGAGCTTCTTGTGAAGGAGCCACTCTGCCTTCTTTGGCCTCACTACCATTCCAGACATGGGCTTTCCAGGCACCAGGCACCGGCCACAGGTTGTTACATGGGCACCGCGCTCCTGCGTGTGGCTTGCAGCTTGGTCTTCTGGGGGAATGTGGACTTGGACAGAGCTTTTCAGAATTTCAGTCCAGTAGTCTGCCCGCGCGTAAGAGGGCCACAACCCTGCGATTACTATCCGGCCGTTGAAAACAGAAAAGACCCAGTTTGCCTCTGGCGAAAGTACGCATTGCATGAGCGTGGCGATGGAACTAAGACAGTAACTGAGATGACTAAGATGTACCAAACTAAAAACGGGGGGTGCTGGCAAGAATGCAAATCATGCCTGCCGGATGTTTGGGGCAAACAAAAGGATTGGATAAGAGCACCTTGTGTAGCCGATGACACCTGTCAAAGTGTTTGCTGCCGCTGCCTGCACTGCCAGCTCTCGCCCTCGTTGGTTGGGTGGCTGGTCGAGGGCTGTGTCAAGGGTGCATTCTATCCGGGTGTCCCGCGAGATGTGTACTGGTCACCACGCGGCATGGTGTATTGGCGTGATGGCCCTGGTCTAGTTACCGCATCGACAGTTACCGCATCGACTGTTTCCGCTTACTACAGCAACTTCACTTGGCTCTCAGAGAACGCCCTGCTTGCCCAGCTTGCCCGGTGCACGTTGACTCACGAGTTGCACGCTACATCCCTTGCAAGGTTTTCTACAGCCGCATTGTTTCTGCAGTGGCTTCCAGTAGTCATGCTCGGTGCGTGGCTTGGCCTCACCTGCTGCTTGCCACTATTGCTCGGTCTGCAAGGCCTCATGGCCATGCTTGGGTCGGCACCACCTGACATCGACACCCAGGGCGCAATTGCCAGCAAGGCCGAGCACCTCCGTCGGCAGATAGCACAAGGCGGTCACCGAGCTGGACTTAAGGAAAAGGTGACCATTTACATGGATCTCTTTTTCTTTTTGGTGGACTACGCATCAGACTGGAACTGCTTGCTTCAATTCGTCCTGGAGCAGCAGTTCGGTCTGGCAGGGGCGCAAGCCGTGATCATCGTGGCACCTACCGTGCTGGACTGTTATCGTGGAAGGATACAGGTTGTAGAAGTAGTTGGCGGATTCTTGCGATCCCGCAGGAAGGGCTTCCCACGAATTCGTACATTCAGTCCTTGCGATCGGAAAAGGGGGTGGAGGCTCCGCTCTCCCTTTTCTTGCAGTACTATGCCTTGCCGAGGGCCACGAGTCTGGCTGGATTCTGGAGCGTATGCTTGTCCATGCCACTGAGCATGTACAGCATCTCGAAGCACGTCTACACAACCTTCGAACTCAGTCTCATCGACAGCTGGACACCTGCCGGAGAAGTCCAGAGGCAGGATGCCACACCCATCGGCAATGCAAGTGCAGATACAGACATTTCGATGCCGCAAAAGCCACCCCCTGACCTGATGAGCGTGGCACCTCCCGCAAAGGCCCCATTGCCAGGTCCGCTGGTCGAAATTTTCAGGGATCTCAAGCCCCAAAGCCCCCAAAACCCTGAGAAATGGAGGAAAATTAGCTGCAATTTACACGTGTCCTCCCTCCCTATAGGCCTTACTCTGAAGTAGTTACCATGAGCTGCGCCAGGTCCTGCTGGCTTGCCTTCCGCATTTGAGCGCCAATTCCTGCCTCCCATCACCATTGATGGCCCGAGGGTGAACGAAAAGGAGTGAGATGTACTTAAGTTGTGGTCAGCCGTGCTGATTTGGACCCCCTGGCACGAGTCCAGAGAGTCC